TTCCACCTATAGTCTTATGTATTGCAGAGGCTCCACAGGAAGCCTCCTTCACTGGGCACATTGTAGCCCTGCATTCTTAGACTTTTACGAGTTGGAACCGACTCTATGGAACTTAACACAATGACAAAAACAGCAGGGACAATGTCTAGGGTAAGACAAACTTTCCAAGGGCCTCCAAAAGTGAAATCTGGCACACACAAAAAAAGACCTAGCTCCATAAAAAAAATAAAACTGCAAAACAGAAATTAATCAGTGCTCAATTAAATGCTTAGGAAAAAACTTGCATCCTGTCAATCTCATTGTCTAATTTAGAATCATGGTTTATTACATTTGAAAACAATTAGCAGGTTAAGTGCTTTTGTTTTGCAAAACTTCCCATGTATGAATGATTGCTGAGAAACAGCAGCTTATTAAATTAAATTAATTATTCATAATGAAATAATTTTTAAATAAAAATTCTAAACATCTTTTCACTTATTGTATAGCAAAAAAAAATGTATGTATAAGTAGATGGCACTTAACAACAACAAAAGAAATTCTAAGACTCCTGGTGTGATGCTATAGGATCAGCACTGGACTGCTGACCATGAGGCTGTCAGTTCAAATCTACCAGCTGCTATAGGATAAGCACTGTAGAATAAGCACTAGAGTGGTAATCACAAGGGCAGTGGTTCAAACCCACCAACCACTTCTTTGAAACCCTATTCAGGATTGCTATGAGTTGGAACCAACTCAGCAACACTTAACAACACCATATAGGATATATGTAGGGATGTATTTTACTATATCTGCTATGCTTTGCATTAGGGTCTATGAAGGTTTCAAACTGACCCTGAAAAAATCAATTACTTTTATGCGTATCTTATTGCCTCAACATCATTGTGAGGTTCTTGAGGTCAGGAGGAACACTCTGGTTTTCCCCACATCTCCAGTCCCTGTACACAACCTTAAAATGTAGGGGAGAACAAACAAGATGGCAGATGGGGTAGACGTGCTCCATCAGCAACAACAAAGAATACCAGATCAAGAAGGCTCAGGGGATGGTGCCAGACTCAGAGCCACATATAAGGAATAATTAGAAGGTTGGAAGGCTTACAGCTAGAGGAATTTGTAGCAAATCAAGAAATCCATTGCTTTATAATTCAAGATGCTCAGCTGCTTCTGGAGCCACCATCTTGGGAGAGACCAAGCAGGGGAAGAATCAGAGCAGCCACGGATGCCTGGCCAATCCTTGGAGATAAAGGTGTGCACATTCTTTTTTATTTTTGTATCTGTTCATTGTTCTCTCACTGGCTGCACATGTCCATTCAGGTGACTAGAGGGGGTGCCTGAGCAAGTGGACACCCCACCCCCAGCCCCGGAGGTCTCTACTACGCATGCACACAGATCTCCTCAAAATTTAAAGTGATAGTTTCCACTTAAAACTAAACAGCAAGGGAACCTAGATCCAGAGGGTGGGGAGGAAGGTAGAATCTCCACTGAGTAGTATCCAATCTGTCTAGGCAAGGCTAATGAAAGAAGATGCAGATAGGTCTCTGGGGACATAATAGTGAAAAATTGTTATCAGGACTGATTGTGAGGTTTGTAAATGTAAAGGTAGACATTTTGTAGCAAGGATGGGGAGTGATTAACTTTGCAGTCTAGGAACGGAGTTCCCTAGGACCATCAAGGGAAAAGAGCAGAGAGCAGGACCCTACCCAGAGAAGTAGTGATGCCTGAGATGGAGGCAGAGATGATGACGTGGAGGGATGGAGCAGCTGGGGACTTTAGACCCAGAAAGGAATAGGGGCTCTGTGCTGATGACTGGGGAGCAGGCTTGTAGGGTATAGCCTTTGGTTGGTTGATGATGCATGGAGGGGATTGTAACCATGCAATGAAACAATATATGATAAGATGAATGTAAAACTAATGTTCTTCCATGTAAACTATCACATAATTCACAATAAAACATTAAAACAAAAAACGGCAGTGCAAAATGGCCACAGCTGGCCCTGAACTGTTTATCACTAGGAAAAAGGCCTGAACAGGGATTGTGGAGTGGGACAGGCAGACGGGGGGAAAAAAAATAGGCTGAATATTAAATCCTGAGTTATGTCACAACAACCAACAGATGCCATCTTGAAATTTCTCAGGAAGAAGAGTGAAAGGGAAGCTCATCTCCTGATCACATCTACCTGGAGGCAATCAGAAAGCATAAAATATACCAAAATAAACACCCATCTAACTATTAAGACCATAGCTAACTCCTGAATATGCCCAAAAAAACAGAAACAGATGACCATATCAGCACATATGATATGAGATAAAGTGACTGAGGCAAATGAGCTGGAAGTAGACCTACATTGCATACTGAAAGATGGGCAGGCTTTGGGAAATGCCTGAGAAGGAATTCTGAAAAATGATTATACAATATATCAAAACACTATACAATGGAGTTGAGAAAAATAAGGAAAAAGTCAGGAAAGTGCTACAGGTACAATCAAATAAAATAGATACAACATTGGAAACAATTCAAAGCCTACATAAAGAGGTCCAAACAATTAATAACAGAATATCAGAAATGGAAACTGAAAGGGCAAAGGAGTAGAATTGAAGAGATAGAAGCCAGAACTACTGAGCTAGAAGAAAAATCTTTCAATGCTATTAAGATAGAAGAGCAAGCACAAAAAAGGATTTTAAAAATCTAAAGAAGGCCTAAAATTCATGTTGGACAACATGAAGAGGAATAACTTAAGAATTATTGGCATTCCAAAACAGGAAGAATCACACAAGTCCACAGAGGAGATAGTTGAAGAGCTTCTGGAAGAAAATTTTCCTAACATCATGAAAAGTGAAAAGATAACCATTCAGGAAGCTCAATGAACCCAGAATGGATAGACCCTAAAAGACAATCACCAAGACATATAATAATCAAGCTCTGCAAAATCAAAGATAAGGACAGGTTCTTGAAAGCAGCTAGGGAAAAGAGAAATGTAACATACAAAGGCAAGCAAATCAGATTAAGCTTGGGTCTCTCAACGGAAACCATGCAGGCAAGAGGGCAATGGGGAGACATATTTAAAACCCTGAAAGAAAAAAACTGTGACCCAACAATCCTCTACCCAGCAAAGGTGTCATTCAAATATGATGGTGTAATCAAAACAAGAGCAGACAACAATCAGAGAATGCCGTATGTGGAAGCATCAACCTGAACTCAATCAACAAATGGAAGAGTCAAGAACAGGATAAAATTATAATAACAGAGGATGTGGAAGGTCAGTCTATGATCAAAACAATTTCAATGTGAAAGAAGGTAAACACAAAGGAACAGAGATCCAGGTGGTAAGAATCAGGTAGATTACAGGATAAAATAGACTGTCTTAAATGGAGGAAAGAGTTAATGGATTATAAGGTAACTACAGTAGTGGGGTTGGGGTGGGGGGTTTAGTTTGGGTGTTGGGGAGGGCAATACAAGAAGGGGGAGGAGGCAGAAGAACAAGATGGGAACTCTGAGACAGTTTGCATGGCCTAGTGGGACAGAGGTAAATAGTGATGCACTTTCAACCTTGGAACAACAGAGCTCTGTGATACAGAGATCTAGGCATGGTTTGAAAAGGGGAAATACTAAGATGCTTGACTGTCTTAGGAATATTTGCTTCCCTTGTCTACTATTGTAAAATAGATACTTAAATGTGATAGAAAGGAATGTTGGGAAGCATGATTATAGAAAACTTGTAAGTCTGTCTTCAGCCTATAACTGATTGGAATACCTAAAAGGGTTTCTAGAACTTGCCCAGTGAAATAGGCCTCTTGCAAAGCCTTTGCAAAGTATAGGACCTTAGATGGAATCCTGAGTCCCATCCAGAACCTTATGAGGTGGGACATTCCCACTAGCAAGGACAAGCAGACCAGCCTGGAACAGCTAGAGCAACAGAAGATACATCCTCAAAGAAAGTTCATCAGGAAAACCCCAAAACAAAAATTTCAGCATGACTGGCTACTACAAGAATAAGCAAGCTGTTCACCAGAAAGCCATCAAGGCTAGCAATCAAGTTCCTTCAGGACAAACTCCCATCTAAGACTGAAACTCAAAGGGAACACATGAACAGGCATGTAAGCTCCTGGCGACCACATTGGTCTACTGGCGAGTGGAAGAGGGGGAAAGGCAGTAATGAAGAAATGGGCTGAGTTCAACCACAGTCCATTGACTCCCACTGACCTGGAGATGAGAGAGAGAAGAGGAAGGGCTGGTTGGTCCAAAGTGTGGTGAGACCTGGGGACACTTGAGCCCATGGACAA